TTTTATTGAATTTTTGAATATGTGTCTGATATTAGATTTTTCTAAAGATGGTATAACTTTTTTTTTTTATAATTAAAGGGGGGCAAGGAGAGGGGAAAAAAGTTACCCTGATCCCCTTTAGAAATTGATTTTCTCATCAGAACGTACACCAAAAAATTTTTTTTTTTCATAATATCTTTAAATATTGTTGAAATATTGCCATCTTTAAATATTAAAACAACTCGTGCTTACTTCAAATGCTAAACACTTAAATGGAAGATTACAAATAAAAAAAGGGTTTACTCAACAATATTAAAAGTTTTTTAACAACCTTTTATAAATTATTATTAATTTATTTTTAATATTAACATTTGAGTTTTTGTTTGACTTTATTAAAATAAAAACTTAGCAAAGTTTGTCAGGAGATACCTCAATAGGGTGTGTCCATTTTTTTTATTTTAAAAAGGGAATAAAACTTTTAGAATAGAATTATATGGGGAATCCAAATCTATAAGAAAAAATTTTAAAATGATGTCTTACTGTTCTGATTAGCATTGTTTTCTACAAAAAATTATAGTTAGATAAGATTGTCTTTATCTGCAACAGAAGCATCTAGCACGACCAATAAACTTTAAAGATCGTTTTACTCATGCAAAACCATTTTTATTTGAAATGAATATTTTTAACATATAGGGGAAAGTTGCGTAAGTTTAGCACGTTTTCAGTGAAATGTATTTTCCCCCAAAAGATTACAAAAAGATTTATATTTTTTAAAGAATATTGATGATTTAATTTACAAAATAGTTTAAAAAAAAAATTTGATTTTTCACAAAATTGGAATTTTTCAACAAAATAAACTGAAAAATTTCTCAATAGATAATCTATTTGAGTTCTTCTGATCTCGTTTCTCCTTTATAAGTGTTATCCGAAGAACACAGAAACTAAAAAAGGTTCGTAAGATTTTGCCACCGAGAACCGTTTAACAATACAATAATAATAAATCAATTGTTTCAAAAAAATATAAAATGAGAATTATACACCGATGTAATTTAAAATATTTTTTGTTTTTTTTTAATTTTTTTGGCCTTTTAACGGTTTTTTATAATTGAGATATACGGTATATACTTCTCATTTTATATTTTTTTGAAACAATTGGTTTATTATTATTGCATTGTTAAATGGTTCTTGGTGACAAAATCTTACGATCCTTTTCTAGTTTTTGTGTTCTTATATATTATGTACAACAATATTTTACCAAAAAATATTGTTAAAAAAACGAAAAGAAAAAAGAAAAAAAAAAAGAAAACGAAGAGACTAATTTGTATCAAAAAATAACAATTTAAAAAAAAATTTCATAAAATATTTGATAATATTTTTTATAAGTTTTATGAAAGTTTTATAAAAGTACTTGTTTTAAAAAGTAATATTGAGATTTATTTGGCTTTAAAAGTAAGCAGAAATTCATTTTTGTAAAAACGTGATGAAAACTCCGTATCTGTTAATTAAGAGATCTGAAAATATCTTAATAGGATTATCTACCTTTTTAGAGAGAAAAAATGACTATAATATGAAAGTATGTTTTTAGAGAGAAAAAATGACTATAATATGAAAGTATGTTTTTAGAGAGAAAAAATGACTATAATATGAAAGTATGTTTTTAGAGAGAAAAAATGACTATAATATGAAAGTATGTTAATGACTAATGACTAAAATATAAAACAAACAACTACTAAAATACTTTATTAAAACATATATATAATTAACATATAAAAAAGGTTTGTGAACTTAATCTCAGATGTCGAGGTCCATCCAAGAATGCTTCATATTTATTTGAAACAAGCAAAATAATTTATAATTTTTTTTTTGTTAGAAAATGTAAAGAAATCCACAATCTTAAGAAACGATTATAAAAACGTTTGTATTGATTTGTCACCAAAAAATCAATTCAGTTAAATAAAATCCATTTAATTAAATTATAGGCAACTATAAACTATAAAACATCCATTTAATCAACTATTTTGGCATTTTTTCTCTTCTTTAGACGACTTTATTAGGGTAAAGTGAACAAAAATCTACCACCTGGTTTTATGCATACAGTGTAATGTTGGTCTTTAATAGATCCAGGGAAAAAATCTACTTAGCCTACTTCTTTTATCTTTACTTATTTCATATTTTGTCAAAATAAACACAATAAATGATCCCTTTTTGTATGGATTTAAAATCTCTTTCATTGATGGTACTACTTGTATTTTTTTTTGCTTTTTTTTTTAAGTTATTGTTTAACTGAAACAGCTAAATCATAACAGTTTACACAACGCCATTTAAAAAAATGTGTTATTTATGGATTAATGTAATTTGTTTTAAATTTTTAGATATAAATAAAATAGAATTCGCTCAATACTTGTAGTGCTAGTCAAGATAACTATTAAAGCGTAAAAAAATAATCTGAAAGAGAACTTGCAATTCTTAGCTATATACAGAGTTTTTAGTCTTAGCCGTTGCCTGGCCTTAAGGCTAAAAATTTAAGCATTGGTCTTGAAACTCTTGGCCTTGGCCTTGGTTTTGAAATTTTTAATTGTTTTGATAAAAATAAAAATTTTAAAATGTGGTTTTATTTTCACATTACTTACTACTTACAGTTTTGTGAAGAGTTGGCCTCAACGTATTGCAAAAATTGAAGTCTTAAGTCTAAAAAAAAGCTTTATGTACGTCTTGGCCTTGAAACTCTTAATCTTGGCCTTGACCTCAAAACTCTTGGCTTTGTCCATGTAACTTTTTGCCTTGGTCTTGGCCTTGGTCTTGACCTTTGTCTTGTAACTTGTGGTCTTGGCCTTGGCCTTGGTCTTGCTACTTTTGGCCTTGTTAACAACTCTGGTATATAAATTTCAAAGTGTTATTGTTATGTTTGTATACATGCATATTTTTTTTTACAATGTCAACATTTTGATTTTTTTTTTTTTAAGTTGGTAATTTTTTTTTGTTGTTATTTTGTTAATTCACCTCCCTGAACCTAAAAGACTACTGCAGACAAGTAAGCTAATTATTTGTAGTTATAACCCTCTCTCAACTACATAACTCTGAAATACGAACCTTGGCAAACATGGGCACTGCGCAGAGAAACAAGTTAAACATGGTACTACCAGGGATGTGGTTAGGATCGAACTCGGAACCACTCGTTTTTGAGCCAGTGCTCTACCACTACACCGCTATAATACTACTGCATTTTGGGTCTCAAATAACTTTTTTACCAAATTTTGAGTTCCTAATAACTCTGGGCTCATTGCTACGCTGCTGCACTACGGACAATGGATTTCTGAATTTGCTGAGAAATAGATTTATATTTCTTGTTACAAGAAATAAAATTACTACCTTGCAATATATTTCTTAAAATAAAAATTGTATTTTTTGAGCAGCCGTGGCGCAGTGACAGCGCACTTGTTTCAGAAACAAAGGATTTGTGGTTAAAACTGCACTTCTGGACAGATTTCCCAAAATTGGTTAGGAAGGAGAAGTGAGCTTTAAATTAAATACTCATCCGCAATGCTCCATGACCGTACGAGGTGCTGATGGAATTAAAAAAAAAAATTTCCTCGTTTGTAAAAATTCGTCATTTCTATTTTGTTCATTTTTATTTGTCATATCTTATTCATTTTTTCTCTATTAAAGCGCGGATCCTCCTTACAAAACATTTTATATAAATTTTTTATTTATTTATTTTTGGTGATTTTTTAGTTTTTTTTACAAAAAAAAAAATCCCCTTATTTTTATAATTTGATAAAAACAATATAAAATAATCAACATTCGGCGAACAACCCCTACATAACGGTAAAATTCTTTGAATTTTACCGTATTTAGGGTAAATTAGAACATACGGTAAAATTCTTTGTCTAAAATAATAAAAAGCTGCTTCGCTTTTCTAAATACAAACTTTACATAAACTCACTTTATATGGTCACTTTATATGGAAACTCATTTTATATGGTAACCTCTATAACCTTATATATGGAAACTCATTTTATATGGTAACCTCTATAACCTAATATATGGAAACTCATTTTATATGGTAACCTCTATAACCTAGTATATGGAAACTCATTTTATATGGTAACCTCTATAACCTAATATATGGAAACTCATTTTATATGGTAACCTCTATAACCTAATATATGGAAACTCATTTTATATGGTAATCTCTATAACCTAATATATGGAAACTCATTTTATATGGTAACCTCTATAACCTAGTATATGGAAACTCATTTTATATGGTAACCTCTATAACCTAATATATGGAAACTCATTTTATATGGTAACCTCTATAACCTAATATATGGAAACTCATTTTATATGGTAACCTCTATAACCTAATATATGGAAACTCATTTTATATGGTAACCTCTATAACCTAATATATGGAAACTCGATTTATATGGTAACCTCTATAACCTAATATATGGAAACTCATTTTATATGGTAACCTCTATAACCTAATATATGGAAACTCATTTTATATGGTAACCTCTATAACCTAATATATGGAAACTCATTTTATATGGTAACCTCTATAACCTAATATATGGAAACTCATTTTATATGTTAACCTCTATATGGTATTTACCATAGACCATATAGAGACCATAATTATAACCTCTATAACCTAATATGAAATTAATGGTCATGAGAATAAATATTTAGTTTATTAAAGGTTTTGAAATTCAAAAACTGAAGTGGAAAGATATATCAACACGCGCTACTAATTATATTTGCTGAAGTGGAAAGATGTATCAACACGCGCTTCTAATTTTATTTGTGTCATCAGGATTGTAGTAAATCATTTAAAAAACTTTTAAATAACTGTCACGTGATATTTCATAACTTTTAATCAACGTATCATACTACAATCTAATGTAAATTAAAATAAACTCATCAGATTTTTACCATTTAAGGCAAAAATATCATATTGCATAATGAATGTTTTGCCTTTAATAGTAAAATTTCTGTTATATACAAATGTAAACAAT